GGCAAATTTGGTGCAACGGGTGTTTAGATACACAGGACACTCAGCCTCCATAATCTTAGCTTGAAACAGCAGTGCAATCGTGCATTGTACAAGGGGTCAATGAAACTAGACTTATTAGCTAAACCTCAGTTTTCTTATATTTAAAGTATGAGTCACACACTGAAATTACTATATAATTTATATTGAATATTGTCATAATGCCTCTTTTGCCTACTAGAAGATGAATACTTCAAAAATAAAAATAGCCTCCATAACAGTGAGGTCCCTATGGGCTAGGCATGGAGAAAGAAAGTTGGAAAGATGGTAAATTCTGGATCTGGGGTACAGATGGACGAAATTAAGGGGAAAAGACAAAGAGCTGGTTACCTCTTCACCCTACTGCTATGCTTTCTCCCTTTAGAGGTTAGGTGAAGTTCAGGACTGGGGTATTTAGTACCCATCCAATATCAGTATTGATGATAAGAAGGACAGGGAAAGAAAGAGAAGGAATAAAACTCTTGAAACAGCAGCAAGGTCTTGTAAGAATAGCTGTCTTTGGTTACCTCCATCACTGAACTGTAGCTACCTTTTATGTTTACACATGTTCAGAGCATAAACATCCATGTTTCCTGAAAATATTTTTTTCTCTCATATGTCCACCAAAATTTGAAAGAATAGCAAATGTAACTATTAAAGTTGGAAATTGCACCTAGTATATTCTAATTATATTAAAATTGTAACACCAGGGGTTTTTATTATTAATTATCTAAGTTCATTTTCACCAACTTTATTTATTTTTTAATTATTAGATGGTAAGGAAAGACATCATGGAAAAATATTATTTAAAAAGGAACTTTATCTCTGGGTCTATTTTTGTTCATCAGTTTATGTTGATCATTATATCCCACATATGAGTGAGATCATGTGATATTTATCTTTCTCCGACTGGCTTATTTCGCTTAGCATAATGCTCTCCAGTCAGAGACAAATGGCAGGGGAGGTGGAGGGTTAGAGAGCAACCAAAGGACTTGTATGCATGCACATTAGCATAACCAATGGACACAGACACTGGAGTGGTGAGGGCTTGCCTGGGGTGGGAATGGCTGAAGTGGGGCGGGGGGTCAATCGGGAAAAAGGAGACATAAGTAAAACTTTAGACAATAATACTAATAATAAAGAACTTAATTTCTCAGCTTGCATTCTTAGCCATTCATTCCCAACCTCTGAGATCACAAAACATAAGGAAAAAAATCTAGAGGGAGATGGCACTAAGAAATAGAAAAAATAAGAAAATATTGGGGAGGGGAAAAGAGCAAAATCACAGCACACCAGCTTTATTGGATGCCACGTGATTCCTTTGTAAATGGTCTGGGAAAATGATAAGCACAAATAGGAAAAGCAAAGTAATGAGTCAGAAATGGAATTCAATTTCTTGATACCACAATAGTAGAGGGTATGGTGACTGAAAAATAGAAAAGCAAGGAACACAATGGAATGAAATATAATTTATTTCCATAACTCTTGTAAGGACACAGAAAGCAGTCTGGGTCAATACTTCGTTCATCTGAAAAGTGAGTATCTTTGTAGTGTTGGCCTGAAAATCATTTAGCAATTTTTTTCAAGAAATGCTCACAAGCCTAACCACCTTAGAAGTTGTCTCTATGTGCTCACAAAAGGGGAAATAATTACTTATCATAAGTAGTTTTTAAAAACTTTTATTAGTAACATATAAAAATAATTGTCCACAATTTTATACATATTGCCTTGAGAGAGAGAGAGAGAAAAAAAACTTATACCAGAGTCAGCCCAATGTGGAATTTTTAAGAGAAACAGTTTGCCAATAGACATATTACATGAAGATATGTATGAACACTTGGTTTGTTGTAACAAAGCAAAAAGACCTAGGTAAATATGTGTGAGCAGGTTATACAAGAAATCTGAGTGAAATATGGTGCAGTCGGTGGCTATTAGCAAACATGATAACATGTCTGTGATCCAGAATTTATGCTGGTTCTATGTCTTAAAACACATAAAGAAAGCTGTGGCTGAAGCAGAAATTACCTATCTCTTTCCCCTCCCTTTCAGATGTGTATCCTTGTGAAAGATATAGAATTAGAAGTGTTTTGGTTGATTTTTTTTTTCTATATGATAATTCTTTGTAAAACAAAAAGTAGGGAGTGCGGTTGGGGATTGGAAAAAAGAAAGAGAATATTCTAGCTTCAGGGATACTTCAAAGACTGAAGTGAATGAAGTTAATATAACATTCAAAAATAGTTTGTCCCCACTTGTTAATATGATCACCCGCTCTCTGCTTTTGTATCTCATTTGCCACACTAAAAAGTTAAATTAAAAAGCCTACGCCAGGTATTTGGGTGTACAAAAGAAAAAAGTAAAAGAAGATTTGGGTGACAGATTGGAGGGTAGCCATTTTCCAAAGTCAAATTTAAATAGGTGATGTTAATATCCATCATGTTTACTCTCTATTCTAAACAGAAGAGTGACTGGCCAGAATTTTATTCATATACTGCAAATGAATTTCAGGCATCTTTGTAGTGACTTTAGATATTATAGTGAGTGAGGTAGACTCCATGGCATGTAATCAGAAAACAATTTATTATTTTTTCACATTGGTCTCCTAAACCTGACCCACAGACTCATCCTTCCTTACTCCTGTATTAATGGTTAGTGATAAAAGTGTCCAGTCCAGGGAACCCCTAACTTTTAAGAATTTAAACTTTCCCCATACCTTGGCTCAGCTTGCTACTGCACAGTTTGGGAAGTGTTTTTTTTTGTTGAGGACAAAGGAAAAGCCAGAATGTTATCTTGTACCTACCCCCACTACTTGCCTCTGCTCCCTGGTCAGTTTCTAAATCCATTTGGGGAGTTAAATCAAGGGAAGGATGGGGGCAAGGGAGGTGAGAGGAGAGGCCTTCTTTGATTGCCTTAGATACCATCTGGCTATGGGGCTCCTGCTAAGGCAGTGAGAAACTAGTTCCCCACTGAGTTACATGGAAATCCCCCACAGCGATGGAGATATGGCAATGCGCTGCTCCAGTTGACCATTTGTGATGTCAATCAGCACTCTACCGGGGCATACAGCAGTCTACTCCACAGTCTCTGTGCCTCCAGTTAGAACTCCTAGAAAGATTCTCTTCAAATTCACCTGGTTGGGCTCCCTCTGCAATGTTACATTATGGTTCAAGTGAAATGAGGTTTTCTCCCACCAACAGGAGCAGTGATTTTATTTGCAATGCAGTAACTAACCTCTCTAGTAGACAGTCAAGCCAACAGCTCCAGTCAAAATCTATTGCCCATAAATTGCTCAGGCAGAAACAGAATGTCAGAGCTTTGGCTCTTCTAAACTCCAGGTGACTAAGACAAGAACTGTGGATGATATCTTTAAAATCTTCTCATTGGACTTGAGTAAAAAGAAAGCATTGCCCCAGTTTTCCTAGAGAAATCTTAACTCTGATTTTTTAGAAATTTTTTTTATTGATTTCAAAGAGGAAGGGAGAGGGAGAGATAATTAGAAACATCAATGATGAGAGAGACTCATTGATTGGCTGCCTTCTGCACGCCCCCTACTGGGGATGGAGCTGCAATCTGGGCATGTGCCCCTGACTGGAATCAAACCTGGGACCTTTCAGTCTGTAGGCCGACACTATCCACTGAGCAAACCAGCTAATACTTAACTCTGATTTTTAAAGTATCCCTGGAACTGGATGAGCAGCTGAGACTCACTAAAGTGGCATTTTGCCATCGACTTGCCTGCCCCGAAACAGTAGTCCAGCACTGTTCCTAAAAACGTGGAGGCGCTTGGCACTCATTTTGTTCTTTGATTGGAAACCCCAGCCCTATCTGTGACAAAATAGTCAATTTCCATTTAAATACTCTATTAGACCCACAAAAGAGTATTTCTTATTTTAAATGCAGGCTGTATATGCTCTCAAGCAGAAACAGATGAGACCTTTGCTATAAAGACACAGTTAGACTTATCCCTATTAGGAAATACTTTATGACAAGCTCTTAACTAATTTTTTGTGCCTAGCAGTCTTTTCATAAAGTAGAAACAAATTAGTGGAGACCCACGGTGGGTATGTTATCTTAAAGGAGAAAACTTTTTGTTTAGAAATAAAAGGGAACTTAGAAATCATCTGGTTAATCTTCTTTAGTAATTTAGATTTAGCTGAGAGAATTAAACATACTTGAAAGGTCACCAACAATACTTTGTAATTAATAATCACACAGACAAAAGAAATATGGAAGAAAGTATTTTTATGGTTTCAGGATTTCTAAATACACGTGACTACACAGAACAGAAGGAGCAAAGCTACCAAGGCTGATACTGACACCGACTCCTTTATTTTTTTGTGAAGCTTGCAGTCAGAATTTCTGCTTTTGTTTTCCTTATGAAGAAAACAACAAAGGAATATCTAAAATGTGAAAAATTACCTAGCCTAAACAGGATTTCATAAATTCAAATTGTCTCATATTATTTTGCAGTCCTCATGACAGACAATCTATATGTTAATTCATATCTTCCTTTGAAGATCTGAGAATAAATAGCTTTTTTTTAGGTTTACTCACACCTTATTTAAATATGAACTTCTTAATATATGGTAGCAAATATTAGATTCCCAATGTGTTCAAACACAGCTTTGTGAATCTATCAGTTTTCTCATTTTACCTTTGCTGAGCAAAGGTCTTTAACACACACACTAACTTTCTCTAACCCAAGGCAGTTGGAGAAAAGGTTTATCTCACAGATCAGACTTAAGGGCCATCATCTATTTACAGCCTAAAGTAAATTGCATAGGGCAGCTTCTGGTCAAAGATTGGGAAGTAACTTCCCAACTGGACTATTTCTACACTGACATATTTACTACCATTAAAGCAACTGAAGAGAATCTACAGAACAAAAGTCAGGGTAAAATAAAAAAGAATAATAACATTAAATTATACTACCTGTTTTTTATATCTCCTGTCCTTTTTTATTATACTTATTTTATCTTTCAGCATTTATTAAGACACTAGAGGCCTGGTGCACAAAATTATTGCACGGGTAGGGTCCCTACTCCTGGCTGGCGATTAGGGCCCATCAGGTTCCCCTATGGGCCAAATAAAAAAAAAGCACAGGGTTTGAAATCCAATACAATTTCAAGTAGCCAAAAAAAGTAAAGACCTTCAGAATATTAGTTAACTAAATTTTAAAACAGCAATTCTGATAAGAGATGTTTTATTCATACAATTATAGTATATTTGAAATCCCATACAATTTCAAGTAGCCAAAAAAGTAAAGATCTTCAGAATATCAGTTAATTAAATTTTAAAGCAGCAATTCTGATAAGAGTGGTTTTATTCATAGAATTATAGTATATTTGAAATACTGTAGTAGACACTAAATAATTGGCTAATGCCAATTTATGAAAGAAGCCAAACAGCTGACAAAAGTTGGAAGTATCTGTCATGATCTGACTCAGTTGAGAATTGATGTAGGTCAGGTGCAGTGAGTTCCAGAAAGTTGTGATACTGGCTGATGATAAAGGTGAGTCCCTGCTTCTGCAAGTCTTCTAATCCCACGGAAAATTCAAGCCACACAGACAGACATTTAAAAAGATGAAGTAACAGATGCTAAATGTCATGCTAAATTTATAGCATACAGTAAACGGAAATATTTGATTTGTCCTATTATAGGCTATGTACTCCCTTTGCTACTAGAATTCTGAAACTGGCCCCAATAGGGGGTTTTGCTTAATAAATGAGGCTGCTTTGTTCCTCAGATTACTGATTCATGTGCTTGATGGAAGCTTCTGTTTCACCCAGGGAAGTCAGAGAGTGTCATAGGCAGCACTCTGTAAATGTTGATGTCTGACAGAACAAATAAAATTCTTGTGACAGACTTTTTTCTACTCCTAATTGCATCAACATTTATTTATGATAAAGGGGAGGTTGGGTGAAAAAAGGCAGTATTGATTACCATAAATCATGAAATTTTATATTCTGCTTTTTAGAAAGAGGAATGACCCGTCTGTGGAATATTTATAACCCCGGTATTTCTTTGGTACATAAAATACATACGATGTGGAACCAAAATAATCTAAAAGGTAACTCTATAATATTTAAATTCCTTAAGAGATCATTGAAAATTATTATCATTTTCCCATTTTTAATACTTTCTGTATAAACTTCACACTCAGTAAGAATAAGTTTTTACTTATGTAGCTGGTTCTCTGAGCTCTACAATAATTTCCCAGTCTCCATAGTGGTATCTATATATAAATATTCCACTGAGAGGCTAGTGAGCAACTATTATGATGCCTGGAATTAAAGGATCTGAAAGTGTGTTGAATGACTGCCTGAAGGAATGAATGATAAAAAAGTTTATTTTTCAAGATCTCCTCAGATCCAGAATTCACTCTTCTGAGTAAGATAATTTTGCACTCTCCAAGCAAAGATGATTTTGAGAAAAAATAAAATGTGAGGAATCAGAAAATATTAACACCTGAAAATGGAGACTGTTGGGAAGATAGTACTGACAAATGAACACTAATAACGACAGTAGACAAGTGGATATAATAATGTGATTGAAAAGACATACATATAACATTTCTTTCAGCTATGTTCAATAATCTAAAAAGATGAACAAACTAATATATTGTAACACCTTTTCAAAAATATAAACATTAGATTATATACAACATGTACAAGAATGATAAAGCAAGTTGTAACATATCTATCTATATATATAAAAACCTAAGCAACCATTAGGACCGCTTGCTATGACATGCACTGACCACCAGGGGGAAGACACACAACACAGGAGCTGTCCCCTGGTGGTCAGTGCACTCCCACAGCCAACCTCCCATGGTCCCTTCCCCCGGCCAGCTGCCTGATTGGGACTTGGCGAGACAGCCCTAATCAGGCCCATCACTACCAGGCCAAGGGACCCCACCTGTGGATGAATTCGTGCACAGTGCCTCTGGTTTATATATAAAAGCCTAATCGACCAGCTGACAGGCAGACCATTCAATTGTCTGACTGGTAGCTATGACGCACACTAACCACCAGGGGGCAGATACTCAATGCAGGAGCTGCCAAGCTGTGGTGACTTGGCAGCTGTGGTTCTTGGGTGACACACCCGGAACCAGAGAAGAGGGAGCCAGATTCTGGGATGCATCACAAGAGAACCGCCCTCTCACAATCAGGGACCCCTCAGGGGATGTCAGAGAGCCAGCCTGATTCTCACAGGCCAGGCCGAGGGACCCCATCTGCCAGAGGGACCCTGCTCACTCTGCAGACGCCCTTCAAGCCACAGCACCACCCCAGGTGCTGCTGGCCAGGGAAGGACAGTGGGAGGTTGGCTCTAGGAGGTGTCTGGCCTGTCTTGCCCAGTCCTGCCCCACCAGCCACCTTCTAATTCATTTTCTTTCAATGTGCACAAATCTGTGCACCAGAGCACTAGTTAAATATAAAAGCCTAAGCAACCATTTGACCTTTAGACTGGTAGCTATGACAGGCACTGAGCACCAGGGGCAGATGCTCCAACTGGTAGGTTACCTTGCTGCTGGGGTCCAGCCTATCAGGACTGGGTGAGATGGGCCAGACACGCCCTGGAGCCCTCCCGTGGTCCCTCTCCGGCCCCGATTGTGCACTAGTGGGGTCCCTTAACCTGACCTGCACCCTCTTACAATCTGGGAACCCTCAGGGGATGTTGGAGAGCTGCAGACCAGGCCGAGGGACCCCACCGGTGCACGAATTCGTGCACTGGGCCTCAAGTCTGTTATATAAAATACTGAACCAAAAAAGAATATGTATTAAGATGTTTATAAATATATATTCTTTTGAGAATGCATAAAAATAGAAGTATGTTAAAGAAGGGTAAATAGATAGATTTATCTAGAAAGGTGTGAGGGTCCTGGCTGGGTTGCCCAGTTGATTGAACAGTTATCCCATACACCAAAAGGTTGCAGGTTCAATCCACAGGGCACATGCTTAGGTTGGGGGTTCAGTTCCTGGTCGGGCACATAGGGGAGGCAACCGGTTGATGATTCTCTCTCTCTCTCTCTCTCTCTCTCTCTCTCGCTCACTCACTCTCTTTCTCTCCCCCTTTCCTCCTCTCTCTAAAAATCAATTTAAAAAACAACAACACATATCCTCAGGTTATGATTAGGGGAAAAAAAGGTCTGCGGAAACATTAAATAATATAATATAAAGTGACTTACTGAAGAACTTTGATACTCAAAATCTTGAATATAAGCCACAGAAACATAATAGTTTCTGTTTTGTTTTGCTTTTAAAATTTAAAGGTGAAAGTGAATTGCTGGTCAAATATTAGAATATAAATGAGAATGGGCTGTTGAAAATAAAATGTTAAATTGCTAGAATGAATTTGTATTAGATGTTGTAACTGAAAGGAAGGTGAGGAGGAAAGGAGACTTTTTATAAGGCTTTAAAAGATATGACATTTTAGAATACTAAGAGATCATAGAAAAGTTTTCAAGAACAGATTATGAAGTATACTAAAATAGATAACTGAATCAGTGCTAGCAAGAAAGTTGTGTACATTTTAAAAGAGACAGATGTGAAACCATAGGGTGAGGGATGAATCAGAAGACAAATACAAGTCAGAATGTCCTCTGTAAGAGATAAATACATTCAAATAATTAAATGGAGTAACCTCTTTTAAGAAAGAAATATGATGTCTGAAAAGTTCAAGGGCATTCTTTCACTAATGTTTTATGAAGGAGGAATAAAAATATAGTGACTCTCAGTTTGTGACTGTGTTCTGGCTAAAAGCAGCACTAGGCTTTACTGAGAAGTATAGCTAAGAAAAGTACTTAAATCATACTAGTATTTTTAAATGTCATGCAATATGTAGACTCTGGATTACAAAACTTCAGCATACAGATGTTCTAGATTAGTGAGTATAATGAGATATTTAAGATCAAAGCTGACATATAGCAATGATGGGCTGAATACAATGGTTGGAGGGATGAATTAAGGAATATTCTGATAAAGCACACGTGAATTAACAAGGGGTGTACAGTCAAAGGGACTGGATTACTTAGTGGAGTTAGATGAATTGTACTGATTGTAAATGTTTTAACATATATATTACCAGTTTGGAGTGAAAAGATTTTGTATTTGTTGTTGACATGTGGTTTCCCTGAGGAGGAAATATCAATCAGACATGAGCAATCAGCATGCATTTTAGAAGGTATGTTTTCTGCAAATATTTGATAAATGCAATGAGAACTACAATAATGAAAACTCATTATCTCCAATAAATTAAAATACAATTGAGAATTAATACATGAAGACAAGCAACTCCAGTTGCCATGTGATAAGTGGTTTCAGAATGGTATAAATAATAACTGAGAAAAAAATTCAAGAGAGATGAGAGAATTTTGTCCAAGGAAGACTGAGATAGTGTCTAACAATATGCCTCTATATTTCTTATTTGATTTTCTACACTGTTAACTCTGCTGTTCATCACTTCATATTTGTAGTTAGTTATCCTATTTTACTTTTCTGCTACTTAAAAAAAAGTTAATTTATTTCCTTTTTTCATCTTAGTTTGAGTCAGTCTACATTTTTTAAGCATAATTTTGATCTTTTATTGTGGCTTCCTAGTTTCAGGTGATATGGTCATTTTTATTGTTTTATTTGTTTTTTCTTTAGTTTTCATTTTTTATCTAAATAACAATTGTAGATATTTTCTAAATTAATCCACTGTTACCATAGTAAATTATTTTTACAAGTAAGTTATATCTTCTAAATGGTTAAGAAGATATTACCAATTTTTATGCAGTTATGTTTTTAAATTTCTTATCTTTTCCATAAGACCTTCCCTCAACCCTGCACTTTTGTTATCCTGCTCTGAGATCAGGGTTAATGACATATTCAGGAAAGCTTTCTAACAGAAGAAGGGGATGTGTGAATTAATCTTTGCACTCCCATTGTCCTCCAGGTCTGAAAGAATATTCCACTCTTTGGCAGGGTTGATATGCAGAGCTTCCAGTTCAATTTCCAGTAATGGCCCGAAATTTATCTAGTATGGTTTTGTAAGAGGAAAGTATATTTTATTCTTCCCTCCAATGGTTCTTTA